GGCAGGATAAGGGGTTGCAGGTGGCAAAATTGACATGTTGAATGAGGTTAAAGCAATTAAGAATATCCGTGAAGTCTGTGGTTATTGTAGAGTCATTGGAGTCCATGTGGATGTTGAAATCACCAAGTAGGAGGACTGACGTGGAGAAAGAACAGAGCTGGGTCAGAAATTCAGTGAAATCAGAGAGGAATGATGGGTTTGGTTTGGGAGGGCGGTAGACAACTGCGAGGACTGACTGTGTGTGACCAGAGAGTTTAAAAGCCAGGTGTTCAAATCAAGGAGCAGATGAGATGGAGATGAGGCTGGTTTTAATATCCTGTCGGTGTATTACGGCAATTCCACCACCTCGGCCCTCCCTCTTGTTTTGCTTGATTTGTCAAGCTATGCCCTTATAATGCATTTTTAATCACATTTATATTATATTTCCTCAAGTATCTTCTCCGACTTCAGCCCTCCATTTTGCCAACAAAACTGTTACAATTTTAGACTTTTCTCTGATCCCTTAGAAACCTGTCAGTTTTCAACACAGTGACGCCTTTACACATATATAGTAAGTGTATTGTTTTGTATTTGTGAATCCGGTTGCCTCCCTTCCCATTAGATTCTGGGATTCTTTCAATCCTTTCATTTTAAAATAGAGCTGTGCAGCACACTTCATTTGCTATAAATATTAATGTAACATACTCTATATGTTGCCATGAACTCCATTGTAATAGCCAATGACAACCTCTTGGCAGAGCAGCTAGATTAAGTGATGGAGCGCATGTAATTTACCCTGGGGAAATTGCTGCCTAAAAGGCTAATTTCCCAATGGAAATATTTCTCAGTGGGTTTCAAAGCCTGAGGGTCTTCATTGTATTGACCAGCAATAGCACATTGAGTCATATTTTATATTAGCTACGGATAAAGACGTGTAGCTGAGCAGCAAAGCTGTTTACTTGGCATTTTGTTGCTGCTAAAACAGTTCATCCTGGATGTATCTACAGTGTGTGAATACTGCACCATCAATGATATTCAACAAATGAATGCCCAATGGCGTTGTAAATCATATTTAATCTAGATTATTTACTGTTTATTGGATATCATGCATAATTAATTCAAGAGCATATACATGTGTTTATATTCCTATTTTTACATACAAACCACATACCATTGGGCATATAGTCTGGATAGTTTTTTTTAAGATTGTGGAATTATATCCTGAAGTGAAATTAAATGTTATTTTGACTGAGCGCTCATATTTAGAGATTCAAGTTACAAAAACAAAACACACAGGAATAGTTGCCTTGGTGCTAACTTGTGTTACAATGATATTTATAGAAATCATAAATGAGGTTACCTCAAACAGCTCCAACATTGAAACGTTGCTGATATTTTTATAAATCAGTAATATTTATCAAGTTATTATATTGGTATGTTCATTATAACACACTGAAAGAACTGTAATTTGTATTTGTGTTTTTCATAGGGTGTTTCTTTTTAATGAGTAAAGGATATATATATGATACCTTTACCGCTGGTTCTCATAGGGCACCAAGATACTTAGGGTCCTATTGTCCTTCTGGTTCTTAAAACCCAGAGCAAGACACTCACTCACTTTAATGGAGCTGTATTGACTAAAACTGCCAAGTGGAGAGTGCAAGTATGAATAGAGTGAAAGTGACGTCCACTGATTGGAGCTGAGGGACAATACACTGCATTAATAGAAGGAAGGAAAACCACAGCCTTTTCTCCATATGCGTCTGATATGCTAAGATGTCTGCATATAACATATCTAGGCCTGTTATTATAGGGTCATTGTCAGGAACAAGAGTGAAGTATTCTTATTGGAGAAGCAGTTCATATTCATGGATAATCGTGGTGCCTTAAGTTTTCTTAAAGCTCTATATTGTCCACTCCTGCTTACATATGCAGGAGGTGTACACCATGTACAGTACATGTATAATTAGCACCCCTCATTGGAGGCGAAGCAAAACTGTCTTCGCTCTGTCTGTGTGCTGTAATGTATGAGTAGCACAAACATGTAATTGAATAGCTTTTAATTGATTTATGTGTATTTTGATCAATGTGTCACTCACTTTGCACACAAGAGTACAATAAGCCACAATGTAAGGGTATTGAAGTAAGGTTGAATGTACAAGTATTCGAAGAGCATGGCAAATAAATTGCTGTCCCCGGTTACGTTTTGGAATTGATCAATGCCAATGGCCCCGAGGCCTGACACAAATTCTGACACACCACAGAGGCAGCTGTGAAAAGAGCTGTGGACTACTCTGCAGCCAAACCGTTGCCCTATAACACGTTGAAGTAATATGCACTGGGAGACGTGTAAAAATGGCATTTTGTGTCAAAAATGTAATTACCTCACGACAATCAGGACTCTACATGCACATGGCAACACCACAGCCAGACAATGGGCTCACAACACCTCATTAATCAGCCAGTGTGTAAAGGATCAGAGGAAAGAGACAGGGATCAAGATGAGTCTCAGTGGAAATATGCATCACAAATAACCTTTTATTGTTCTTGGTCCCTGTGTTTCATGAAAGCTGTTACTGTAAATCACATGCTGCCTTCAAAAAATGTACACAATATGCCTAATGGGGTCCCATAGTGTTTAATCAGGCATCAGGCAATCATTATCTTCCCTCCACTTTTAAAAGACTAATTTCAGCTGTGCTTTTTAATATGGCATGTCAGGATAAATCAATATGAGCACAGCATCCCTGGTTCAATTCTGCCTGGGGACCTTTGTTGTGTCATCCCTCTCTCCTCCGATGTTTCAAGTCTGTAGACAAATGGAGTCATTTTTTCTTTTCCTGTTAACTTTATAAACCTCACATAACTGAGTGAGGTTTCCATCAAAGTGTATATCTGAAAAGGTCAAAACTGCAACAATTTGAACTTAAGCCTGTGTCAGTAATTCAAAATTGTCCAGGAGTGGACCTGTCAGTGTCAGTCTGTCTAAGGTGTACATTTGCTGATCCACAAAAGGAAACTATAGTTTTTCTACAGAACCCGAGAAACATTGTGGTCATTATTCTTTCTTTCATTATCCTGTTATCAACCTTGTTAACATTCAAGGCCTAATGTGTACAAAACTCAATGTATTCCTTCTTGCTAAATAGACCTACAATATTTCTGCAAATCGATTTCCCATTTCGGTGAATCTAACTTCCCACTGTTCTTCTCTGCATGTATCCCACGTGGCCTTTCAATCACAAAGTAATAGCTAGACTTCCCACGCTCTGTGATAAAAGCCTCTCAGATTGCACAGTTGACAACTGGAGAGCCCTGCAGGGGTTTTTAATAGTGATCGAAGACTCAACTGAAAGCCATAGAATTAAGGTCCAAGACTTCTGTAAGTGGCAACCTGAAAATAAACTGCTATGTAGTTTTCTTTTTAACCCTTTTTCCTCCAATGGACTCATTCACACTGTTAACATTTTGGCTTTGATGTTGCTTACATTCATGTCTTCAATTAAATGTTTTCTTAAAATTCACACACAAAAGATCACAGTAAATGTCCAACTTACTGTACGTCAAAACCTGAATCAAAATGCTTAAATTGACCTAATATCCGTTTTCATATTCATTAAAATGAACTGAATCACTGAATATGTATGCTTTTGGCAAATTCCCAAAACGTTTGTATTATTAAACTAACTGTCATCATGAAGCTTTTGGAAGTATTCATATCCACTGGGACAACACCGTTTCTCATGAATTTCAATCAGCATTTACATAAAGTATTGCTTGGCAGAGCAAAAAAAGGATTTGATTTACTTAGCATGGGCCTTACATAGGTATTTTGGTTTTAAAACACTGTACCATCTATCATTTAAACATCTTACAATGAATCAGTGTTGTTTTTAATAAGAGTTAAATTAGTATTGTTCCTGCATCAAACAACATCCCTCTCCTTTACCCTGACTGCAGATGCAGTCAAGAGCATCCAGTTAATAGTGAGAATATGATGTTAGGGTAATCTTTTGAAGCTTTTCCACGTATTTGTCTGTGAACACTAAAAATAACTTCAGAATGTGAGAAAGTGTGAAATGGAATAATTATTTTTCCTTTAGTATAATGCATTCACACAGTGAGACATAATGAACTGCAATAACTGCATTCTTCTGCAGTGTAGTTTGAGATAGTGACAATATCCAGTGACTGACCTCTCAAATTATACATGTAAAACATTTTGAGTTTTGAGAAAATTCACATTACTGTGAACTGGGGATTTTTGATTGACATCTCATATTACCAGATGGCTGTTTTTTCCAAAAGCTAAATGATTCTGAGCACGTGCAACTGTAGTGATAGACATAGACATAATCTGTTGAACAGCTCTACTCAATTGATTTGATGAGGTCATGTAAAATGTAAAAGTTCCCGTGTGGAGGTTACCAGGGCACTAAAGGCCATGAAAGCAAATGAAGGATGCTTATTTGATGTGAACATTCAGATGTCTGGGGGGAACTTCAGTCTGTTGGTTGTGAATATTAATTTGACAGAAAGGGGGAGAGTCACTTCAGATACAGGACTGTACAATTATATTCTCTGTGGTGAACAGTGAGGTTAATTTAGGAGAACACACAATTTGATGGTGGTTGAAAACTCAACCGAAGGAGGGTAGGTTTAGCCATATGGGCTTGAAAAGATTGTGTCTTTGTATTGTACACACACTACTTGCAATATTTCAATATCCTGTTTGTGGCTTCTTCATGCTGTTGACACAAGATCATCTGAAAGGTCACAGGAGATAAAGGTATACACTGTGGGCTGGCTGATAGCAGGAAGAGGGAAAGATTAGTCCATCTGGTATTTATGAAGTTTAAAACAGCAGCCACAAGTATCAATCAATCTCTTTCATCGTGTGTGCCATTCATGCGTCACTGAGTGCGCACGGCTCCCTGCCTGGTTCTGCTTCTGCTGGAGGAGAGGAGGTGCGCTCACACCCACATTCAACAGGCAGTGGAGGCTACTTGTTACATGTTTCACCGCGTTTATATTAATATTGATTTAAACTGAAAAGTGCAGAACGATTGGAGACTTTCACTGCAGGGACCTAGGCAGAAGATGTGCCGTTTTTAGGGATGGTAATGTAATTAAGTTGCGCGCAATGGTGCATAGACATAGACACATCTGCTCTCTTCATTTGAGTTTTCAGCTCAGTAAGTAGCTCATACTCGTGAAACTACTAACACTTTTAAGTTTCGCGGAAAGGAAAAAAGGATGGCAGCTCCACACAACGGATCCAACATAACGGGGAACTACACTAACCAGTTCGTGCAGCCGCCATGGCGCATCGCTCTCTGGTCCCTAGCCTACAGCTCGGTGCTGGCGGTGGCGGTGTTTGGAAACCTCATCGTGATATGGATAATCCTTGCCCACAAGCGTATGAGGACTGTGACCAACTATTTTCTCCTGAACTTGGCGTTTTCAGACGCGTCAATGGCCGCCTTTAACACTTTGATCAACTTTATCTACGCTGCCCACGGGGAGTGGTACTTCGGGGAAGGCTACTGCAAATTCCACAACTTCTTCCCGGTCACATCCGTGTTTGCAAGCATCTACTCCATGACTGCGATAGCTGTGGACAGGTGGGCATGTCAAATGCTGCAAGGAAATGATTAAAAGAATGAGATATGTTGATTAGTCTTCAAGCCCCCACTCTTTCTCTATACTATAGTTGGTAGTTTATGTGTGTGGAAAAAATGTATTGTAATAATTCCGATTTAAGATTGTTAAATTAAAATCTAAATCTCATCTGCATTTTGATACATTGATAATCAATTAATTTGTGGTGAAGAGGGTTAAATCAATAAAGCCACTGAGGTAGGTTAATACATTGTATTGCACAACCATTCAAAGACCCGACCATCAGAGAAGAGATGAATTGTTGGGATCAAATGCACAGAGTAATGTTTTCCAAGAAAGAAAATCTGTGTCCCTTAAATACTTTCATATCAAGTGCTTCAGCATGATGTTTCGGACATCTTTTTTCTGATTATTCCACTTGGTCACTTTCCACAAGAAGTGGTGGAAAATTGAATTTGGTGCTTTAAAAAAAAGAAAAACGTACATCAGTGTTAAGTCTAGCTTGAACAAAAGCTGCACTCCATTTGGCAATGCTTATGCAGTTCAACTGATTTAATGTTCTAGCTCATGCCTTCTTGCTCGCAGGAACTCACTGTATGGAGTCCCTATTAGTTTGATTATTATTGTTCCAATAGAGTTAGTGCTGATTTCTGTAGCCTTTACATTCATTTCAGATCATTATGGAAAAATGGAAAGGCACTTTCTCAGCCCATCCACCTATTCCTAACATTTATTTTTACATTTCACTGCCAATTAATCTTAGATTCAAGATGTTGTTTCTGAAAGAGTCTGCAATGCAGTCACTTACTGTTTGTGTGCCAACACCCTTGAAAAGATCCCCCATGTCAATCATGCTTTACACCCTCTGATTCCCTGGTTTTCTACCACATGAACTCCTATTATTCATCTTCTTTCCTCTTTCACACTTCTTTATTCTTTGTTCCTCCAATCTCTATCTCTTTCCTGGCGCTGTTGTTTCCTGTAATGTGTTGATGCAGTCATCATTATCAGCCGGGCTTTGATACTGATCAGTGAGCCATCATACGTCATAATGTTTGAATAAAGGGATTAGACTGATGAAGGAAGAAGCCACAAGCCGAACATAATGAAAATAAAATGGGTTTAGAATCTACATGCAGGCACAGTGTGTGTCCACAGCTAGTGTTGAAGTGTCACAGTGTGTTTGGGTGTTGTGCGAGGTGTTGTCCTCCTCCGGTACTTCTCCTTGACACACAAAGGGAGAAATGCATTTCCTGAAGCCATTCTCATTTTGGCTCCTCTACAGAAGCTTCCCTGGGTTTGTATTTTTGGCCTGCAATGTCTGTTTGATTCTGTCACTGTGTACTAAGATAGGGAACATCGGAATGACCTAAATGATGCAGATGTAACCTCCGGTCATGCTTTCCCTAACCCCACTATGGTGCTGTCTCCACGCTGATGTTTTGAAATGGCATGAGGCCACAGTTCAGAATCATCTGTGAATTTGTCCTTATTGTTGACTCTCTACTGCCAAGTGTGTTTCCATAGGCACTGAAGCAAAGTTAAAAGATAACTGGCGAAGCCTTGAAGCTTTTTTGATAAAACAGCCAGTGCCTTTTTCCATTTCTCACACCTTTTTATCTTCTTCTGTGGATGTATATACACTTTATTATCTTGTGCAGGTAGAACTGAAAAAGGGGTCAAAGGCAGACATATGATCATAACTGTAGTTTATTGGTTAAATTGGTCTGGTTTTTGAAATATGCATCTGTGAGATTCCTGCCTCCACCCTAATACAATGTACTGTAGGTTAATGGGAATTTGCTTCAGCAGCAAAACAAACAGAACAATTCCTTTCATGAGACAATAATCCTGTTCCTCTGGAAGATCCACATAATTTGCCTTAACTACTTCCGGGATTAATAATAGCCTGAGCTCGAATAGTGAAAATCATTAAAACCTATGTATTTTCCTAACCACTTTTCCTTGACTTGATGGGAAACGTAATGAGGTAAAGGACAGATGTAAAGGAGAATTCAAAGGACGTAGGAAAAGATACACGGTGAAATGAGAATCTGACTGCCCTTTTTTAGCATCTTTATTCATTAAACATAGAAAAAAGTCTGCCACAGTGAGAAATGCTCTACAATTCAAGTACGATTTATTTATTTATTTAAATGTACCTGCTGCTAATAGTTGTGTGATGGCATTTTCTCCTTTCCTTTGGTAAAGGATGGTCTATGTTCCCATTGCTAATGTAGATATGAGAGGAAGCAACTTTAGTTATAAATCCTCCTTCAAAGTAAACAAAACTATTCATCAGAAACGTAGTCTCTTTGAAAACTGTAAACAATGATACCTGCAAAGTTATGTGTAATGTGGACTTTGTTCCTGGGAGATGTTTTTTTATGGAATAGTTTATTACAATGCTGTCAGTAACACAAATAACAGTCCATTCACTACCTTTGTATTGTGTGACAGCAGAAGTGTCGGAGGTGGATTAATCTAAACAAGAAAAACTCAAGCTATCTGCATTGCTCAATACCATTAGTGTTGTCATTTGAACTAACCATTTAAGTATTTTATTAAAATATGCTTTGAAGTAAGTGTGGCAGAAACATCAAACACACTCCTCTCCTCTGAGAACATGTAAGCCAACACTTGACATTAAGCTGTGTGCAAAATGATAGGCTTCTCGCGCTGGTAGTCTCATCCAAGGTAATCTCTGCGTGTTAAACACCAGGCGGTGATAAAGTGAGTGTTTAGCTTGTGTTGTCACAGCACAACTTTTCTAAACAATACGTTGCCTGTAAGCTGTCATGCAGTTTAAGGCATAACAGACTCCCAGGTTGAACAAAAAAGGTGAAATTATTTATTAATTTGCTGTTTTAATGTCTCTTTGATCTTCAAATGTGTGATTGGAAACCGAACAGGACTGTGTGTGTGGTGTGTGTGTGTGTGTGTGTGTGTGTGTGTGTGTGTGTGTGTGTGTGTGTGTGCGTGTGCGTGTGCGTGTGCGTGTGCGTGTGTGTCTTGGGCAAAGGGGAGTTGCATAAAGCCGGTAGAGGAAAAATGAAGATTAGCTTTGTTCAGTGGTTTAAGGTCTATTAGTTCAGCCACCATTGTGCAAGCTCCTTGGATTGGACTGTGTGGCACATACTTGATTGGATATCTAATAATCTGTTTACACACTGCCAACCACAAGGGCCAAAGAGACACTCTGAATAAATGCAAAGCAATTACTGGTACATAAACGGGGCCTTCTTGTTGTTGTCCCTCAGAGAGTTCCAGTCACTGAGGTGACAGGACAAGACCCATTCTTTACCATCTTATGCAGATTACATTTGCATTTCAAAGCCTGCGTTAGCAGCTATTGGAAATCATGAAGCATCCTGACATTGGTTAATGTCCAGCTGGTAATCACTTTCCAGTTCTGAGACCTTCACTGTTAGGCTCAAACTAAATCTGGAGCATGCATCAATTTCTCTGAAGAATCCAACATCACAGTGTTAGTGGACTTTTACAGACGGAGAGACAGAAAACTTAGTATATTATTGTTGTAAAAAAAGCGTTTGAAAATCTTGAATCATATATTGATTTTTTTTAGAAATGTCTATTCAAGCTTAATCACATACAGTTGTGCGTCCCAAGATAAATCTGAGAGTGTGGCAAAATAGAGTGATGCATATATGAAATTATTCTTTTTTTTACCTCTTGAGTAGAGTGAACATCCTTAAATAAAATACTGAAAAAGAATGTGAAATTACTCGTACACTAGCAATAATCAATATAATGCCATAACCTGTCCAAGTTGGTGTCAAACACTCTTAAAGTATACCTGAATAAACAGCAACTAAACAGGGAAGTGCCTTCCATGGTAAATAAAGAGTAAACCAATCAGTTATTTATTTTCTTTATTTTATTGTAACTGAATCAGCAGTCATTCCCCTAGGCTCCACAATATATGTTGTCGAGGCTTTCAACATGATTATCTCTTTCTCACCTCTTCCCTGCAGGTACATGGCCATCATCCATCCTCTGAAGCCTCGTCTGTCGGCGAAGGCCACCACAGGAGTTATCATCTGTATCTGGAGTCTGGCCATTGTGCTTGCTTTCCCTCTCTGCTACTTCTCCACCACCCAAACTCTGCCCCGCAGGACCCTCTGCTACGTTGCCTGGCCCCGCATGGCTCAAGACCCCTTAATGTGAGAAACATTTTGTAGCCAACAGTATTTCATTCAGTAATTTCAGCCTCTGCTAACCGTTGCATCAGCTTGGTTTAAGTTCAAATGTTGCTTATTTTAACAGGTTGTAGTCATTTTTTTGTAACATAAATTAGGATATACCATACATTGTATGTGTGATACAGCCATCCTCAACTCAATAAACATTTCGAAGCACAACAGACCAATAATTAATTGGTAATGTGAATTGCTTGCAATACAAGGATGCTGCCGTCTTAAAGGTCCCCTATTATACTGTTTTTCATCAATATATTATAGGTCTCAGATATATACAAAACATGTTTTTGAAGGGTTTGACTCGAAATACCAAACAGATCATGCATTGTAGCATCCCATAATCTCCTCTGTTTCAGCCCTGTTTCAAAATTGCTGATTCTGTGTCTGTTACTTTAGATGAAAATAAGGTGCCACTCCCCACTCCCCTCTGCGAGATATTTGGTTAAAAAGAACACAATGGTGCTCTAGGAGGAGAATCAGGTGATAAGGTGGGCGGGGGTTACCTTGGTTGGTTATTGGCTAATGGTTACACAAGCCAAAAAAACTTCATGACATCATAAAGTGGCCAAAATCTGATCAGCTCATTTTCAGACAGGTTTTTATATAAATGGATCACGACAAAAAGAGAGCGAATCTTTTTCCTAAAAACGTTCAGAATCTCTTAACACAGAGGGGACACATGTTTATGTATAAAAGACATGAAAAAGTTGATTTAGGTGACCTTTAATTTAAAGGGTTCCCATGCCCCCGAGAAAGACCCAGAAGAATTTTCTGATCTTACTTTCTTTTACCCATCCATCCAGTCCGACTTACACAGACTTTGTTACTATACAAAAATGTAACCTGGCTCTCTCCTTTGCATCTTTCCATAATTACTACAAACAGCATTTGGTTAAATATACTGTATTTTGTCATGCAGCATTTGCTTAAAATGACTGACACTGTCTTTACTATGGACAGTCTCAATCAATTACAAAGTAACAGTCTGTTTGTCTAAGTGGTGACTCTCAAAATGTAGATAAAAACTACATTCCTCTGGCGCAACAGGTCCCATAAGTACATGAGGCTGAGTAAAGAGTAGAATATAGTGACTGTTGAAAATCACACAACTCAAAATATTTCATAAATGCAAAAGCTCTCCTTTCTCTTCCTTTTCCTTCATAGGTATCATATCATAGTGGCGGCCCTGGTCTATGTGCTGCCCCTTATGGTGATGGGCATCACTTACACCATCGTAGGGTTGACTTTGTGGGGAGGGGAGATCCCAGGAGACTCATCTGATAACTACCACGGACAGCTTAGGGCTAAAAGGAAGGTAAGCATGCTTGCGTGGTAATAATACATCATTCATTCAACAATTCAGATATCACCTGGGGCATCCCAATTAGTAACTGTAAACATGATGATCTTTGAATGCCACTAGTCAGAGAACGAGGCATAATCTGTAATGTTCTGCCACTGAGCAGCCTGAGGACAATTTGAGCCAATATGCCATACATTTGACATATAACTGGGAGATCTCTTTCTTTATACAACTAGAAGGCATTTAAAAAGTATCTGTCACAGCAGAACAATTATCTACCTTGCTGTTACTTCTTGCCTTTAGGATTTAAGCCTCTATCTTTGTTAATTTGATTGCTGAAGCAAGAACATGTTTGGTCTAATTAGGGAAATCCCACCCCACTGAATCTAATTAAGTCTTAAGGTTATCCTGCTGATAATAAACTGATGCAAGCATAACATCACTCGAATGAGATAAGACCAAGACACAATAAGGTTATTCTTAACACAATCTGTATAATTTTGAACAAATCGAAATGACCGGAAATAACTCCCTTTAAGCTCTCTGTTGTGTTTAATCACTTGAAGCTATATTACAGCTTTTCACTTTTCTTTAATGAGTATAAAACATGCAGCTCATGCAGGACTATTAAGAAACCTTAAACATTGTTTTTCTTCACTAAAGCAGGAAAACCTGGGTCTCTAAAGGAATACATAAAAGAAATAGGAATATTGCATCCGATTCTCATGGTGGGATGGAAAAGCAAATCATTTAGATTAAGCTCAACAGATAATTAAATGTTCTTAGTTGCTCAGTGTTTTAATTATCTCTTAAGTTTTTCAACAATTATAGTAAACTTTTACTTAAAAGTGAGCACAACAGCAACAGCATATTGCTTCGAACAACAATAATTACTTTGTAAGCATTTTGTATGTGTGTGCAGCAAGTAAATACACCTCACTGTGAACATTTCAGGGAAGGAAACCTTGATCTCTCAGAACAAAACCTTTGTCGTTGTCGCCAACACTCAATCAACTCCTTGTCCATGCACAGGGACAGGCAGGCTCTGAAAACTAACAGCCTCTTAAGGCATTATTTGTTTGGAGGACATATTTGGAGTCACGGTCTTTATTTTTCTCAGCAGCTCATTCAAGACACACTTTAACAATAAGATGGCTACTGCTACAATAAAGAATGACTGTGAATAACTTGCAGCAGACAACACAAAAGGGTAAAGGTGGATAAATCAATTACTAGAGCATAACTTGCAAGTTAAATATTATAATACTTCCTTTTTATATGTCCACTGGAAAACATTAATATGCTTCTGATATCATTTCCCTTTGGCTACGCGAGCTCTGGAGCACAAACAGAATTGTTGCCTATGAGTTCACTGTTGGAAGTGCTTTACCTCTACACACATTACTTGTATCCAATCTTTTAATAAGAATCAGTATTTCCGTGACCGCAGGGATCATTATCTCTGAGTCAGTGGCGTAACTATCGACGGTGCAGCCGGTGCAACGCATCGGGGCCCCGAGCCGGCAAGGGGCCCATGCAAAAATTTTTTAATATTTGTTTTTTGGGGCCCCAATGGCATTGACTGGTTCACGCAGTCTTCAAAGTAACCAAGCAACCTAAATTAATTTGTAATTTGTCTGTCCAATGACCTTGCTCCCTTTCATGTCATGTGATATCTTGTGTGACGAGAGAACCGTTTAATCAACCTGTACTGTACTGTAGCTAGCAGCAGCAAGTTCGGCAGCATTATAAAAAATCTAATAGCTTGCATTTATAATGTACAGCAAACCAAAGCACAAGAGCGGCGCTCAAAAGAGAAAGGACAAGAGAGAACAAGGAGATGTAACAGCTAAACTGACAAAATTAGACCGTTTTTTTTGTCATACATCGTCCTCGAAATCGAGCGCTAATGTTAGCAATGTTGACGTGCAGCGGCAGCCGGAGGCTAACGATAGCTCACCACCATCATTGCCATCTAGCTCCACAAGTGAAGCTGTATCCGTGGCCGTGGCTGTGCAACCTTCTTCTCCAGCCAGCCAGGAGGAGAGGCTGGATTTGGCTGTGCCTGGCGGTGGTCCAACAGTTCCCCCAAGGACCCCAACCGATAGGGGACTCTATGGCGCTATTGAGACCCCCAAAGCCAAGATCAAAAGCTATATTATAGCAACCGGTCTATTTAGACCTACCGGCCCATTCCCCAGAGACAAACATCAAGGAAACAGGTTTAATCCTCTTCTTAGTTCGCTGTGCTGTTGTCAGGCTGTGGTGGTCTGAGGCCAGGGCAGGCTGTTGTTGATAGCCTATACATGTGGCGCTTCTGAGTGGTTGTGTATGTCCGTGAGTGTGTGAGCGCATCAGCGTGCGCTTATGTTTGGGGCGATGGGGGGGGGGGGGCCCAAAACAATATTTGCACCGGGGCCAATCACAACCTTGTTACGCCACTGCTCTGAGTCCTCCAGGCAGAAAAGGTTTCTATGGGGAGTGTGTGAAGATCAATAAGTGAAAGAAGTATTTGTGTCTGTGTGTGGATGTTGATGGTGCACAGGAGAATTCAGGTTGTGTCCATTTCTGTTTTTACTATGATACATCAAACAGGCTTTTCTATACACCCTGAGGGAGGCTGTTTGTGCCGCTATGCGTGGGTTGGAACTCCGTATTTTTATATGTATATGCTTATAGACTTTCAATATGAAAAAGCTATCTCATTTTACTATTTGAAAGACTTTTAGTTATTTCTTATTTTTCCACGCTACTATCAAAAGCAGTTTGCATATTCTTTTGGGTTTAATGTCTGAATTTGAAATGTTAACATAGTTTTGAAGGATGAATCTTTCATCCTCCACCCTGTCCTTACCACTGGTTTACAAGGTACAGTGTGTTATTCCTGAGGATGAATGTCATGAAGGTTGAGAGTTTTGTGCTTTCAAGCTATAGTCAGAAAAGGTCACAGAAAGGAGAGAACAGCCTGGGGCCACACAGTCAAGCATCATAGCTGCAGCTCAAAAGCAATTTTTTTTAACCTGCTCCAGTCTTATGGCAATGAACCTTAATACATTCAAAAAGGAAAACATCAGAAAAAAAGGAATAAAGTGTGTGTAAAACCTTTACTAGGTAAAGTTGAATTATCAGGTAGAGTCTGTCATCATGTTTAGTACAGTACCTGCTGTGTTTGGTATTGTTAGCATGGAGGTCATCCCCAATGCAATAGATTGCCATTATTGGCCCTCAGTGTTACGTCACTTCTTAGATTTGGATGTTGCATAAGGCACCAAGCCCCACATTTGACAACCCATTTTTACTTGTGGGCTCACACTCTCCAAGATTTCAAACCAACCAACTTTTTTCACCTATTATACATACCAGCCTGTCCTCCTACAAAAAACGACCAAATAGGTCGATTGTTCAGCAGCTTATTACGACCCATAGTCACGTTTTAAAGTGTAGCACCTCTAGTGGTCGTGTAAGAAACGACATGCTCCCTTGCAAACGCTCCGGAGGGTCGTTTATTCACAAATAACTCTCTTCAACAACTCAATTGTGGAATAGTTTGGCCATTAAAATACTTTTTGATTAGATTTTTAGCGAGAAGTGTATATTGTACTTTTATAATCTACGTCCAGTGGATGTGTAGGATCTATAGTTTGATAGATATTAGGAAGATGATTTGAGGTCTCGCCAGGAGAACATTAATATACTACGTCTTTCCGCAGCGTCCATGTGAAGTTGGCGTCAACCCTCACAGGGTGAGAACAGTATTTCCGGTCTCGAAGTTTTCATAATAAAACCGGAAGTATTCCCCTCACTGTCAAATGATTACACAGTGATATCTGCATTACTCATCCACTATAAAACATCAGTTTATCCTTGTTAATTACACAACATTGATTGGTTTAAATTGTGTAAAATGCTTTTGTGTTTTTAACCTTCGATTCGGAGAAACAAATAGTTTTTTCCGAGTTTAGGATGGCCGAAGACACTACACTACCCATAATCCTCAGCTATCGTTTGGGACTACAACATCCGCTTTGCTTGACAAACCCCGTGACTAGTCCTCAAGCTCTGTGATTGGATGTTGGAGTGGCAGTGCGCCAAGGTTACGCAGAGCTTCAAACAGCTCTTTGAAATGGAACGAAACCACGGCAGACTATCCAAAACTGGACTCGAACGGGTCCAGCCCAGCATGTGTCATATCATACTCACTTAACGGTTAGAAACTCAGCTAACTGAAGATATGAACCATTTTTACCGAAACAAAGCACAAGTCTCACAAGAAGCGTCTAAATGAGCCCTGAGCGAAAAAATGCTGACGCACTTAGCACAGAACTCAAGGTAAAAATACCCTTATTACTTATCATAACTGCACATACAAGATATCCAATTAAAGCTGAGATTCCACAGATTCTATAGGTATTGGTATCATCACTGAGCGATCAGAACTCGTGACAGGGGAAGCAAACACAGACATCACAACACTTAGCTTTACGGAGCATTCAGGGGAGATCGTCTCACCTTAGCTGTTATTCTGATCAAAAGTCGTGTTTAATGGCATTACAACGATAGAAACGCTGCTGAAGGTTAATCCAATAGTTAATCCAATGTGTCTGTGTCACTTTGAAATGATTACTGATAATCCATCCTTCCATTTTTATGTCAAAAACGGAGATTTCATATTAGCTGCTAATGATAGCCACCAGAGTGTATCGCAGCGTCCGGTTCCGGGGCATTCTGGCTGCACATCACTCATTCACCAATGGGTAATGTTTAGATGGATTTTAGGGACTTCCCCTCGATTCTATTGGCTCTAACGGTTAAAAAGATATGTCAATCATCAAAATCGAACGAGGTGGGCCAGATATATGGAAAATGCACCCAAATGACCCCAGAAGTGTTTTTTTTTCTTCTAAATCTCTCTAAAAAGGTCAGATTTCACTTGTTTGTCATCAATCTTGATACAGGGTACTTATTATATGTTATAGTTTGGATTCCTAAATCTTTTAGTCTACTATCCCATC